TTAGAAGTGCCACCCGTCATGCTGACATCCCGCTTCCCATTTCATCTTTTCATCTGTCTGAAGTTCATGTAGGTTTGTGTGAAGTATCTGTGTGTTAATTTGTATGGTATAAATAGCCTGTTGCTGGGGTGTTTACAGGTGCAGAAATATCGCTCGGAGCTCACTGAGAGCGGGTGGAATGCAAAGCCTAAAAGGCATTTTTCCCTTCCTCCATACTGTATTCTATTGTATTCCCAGGGAAAAACAACCAGTCATTCTCATTTCCTCGTGGATGCTGCCCTGAGAACGAACACAGCTCATTCCAGTAATGCCTTCTCTGGGTCGAACCTCGGGCAGTAAATCCATTTCTCTGTCATCAAAAAGATAATGAGTTTTTCGCTGCGCTTCAAGCAGGTCTGTTGTGCTAGAAGCTTCCCGTAGAGTCTCATCAGGATGCTGCATCTCCAAGTCCTTTGAAATGTGCTGCAAAATTAAGGCTCTAGTCCTGTTAACCCTGTGTTCTTTCTCCTGCTCCTTTTTAAATTCCTGTCTGAACGTGTCACCAGCAAATCCCAGTCATAGTTTTAACTCATACTCCAGAAAACCTTCAATGTGGCATGTAACACTGTAATGAATTTTCCAGCCTTAGTACATGGACAAGAGGTAGGTCTTGAGAGATGAAATTGCCTGACAAATAACAGGCACAGTGAACTTCAGATTTGTGACACGCGGGCAATATTGGTTCATTCAGGGGCTGAATGTGAATTACTTTGATATTTAATATCTTACCAGGAAGGGTGAGTATTTGAAGGATAAGCATTTGTAATTTGCTTTGACATTTGACATGATCAAATGAATAATATGCCATTTCTCCATTGTCAAAAAAGATAATGCCTTTCATAGCTTATTGTGGGAAAAACACAGCCAATACAATTTAAAATATGGAAATCATCTGTATATATTTATATAAATTGTGTATATTGTGTGTTCTTTTGATGGCCCTATTCAAACACAGCATGTCTATCTTTTTTAATTTTCTGGTTTGCTGTGCAAGTCTCTAGCAGAGAGATTTTTCACTTTTTTTGAAAAGAAAAATGTTTTCTTCAAATTATTTATAGAAAGAGCAGAGCTGTCATCAAGTCTGTCTCATCATATCATTCTTGGATATCAATTTCTAGGCTCAGATGACAAACCATGGCAGCTACTTTTCCAATAGCAGCATCTGGCTTCTTGGCAAACTTGAAATGGAGTTATCTTGAAAGCTTCAGAGTTGATTCTGAGCACATTTTATTTATTAGAAAGCAGTTGTGTTGCTTTGCTTCCCATGACTAAGCCAAAGGATATTTAATATATTGAATGGAGCAATAGAATCAAGGCCAAACTGGTGCCCATCAAATGGTGAATGAATGACAATATTTTTCCTTTAAGATGACCATTTATTCAGCTCTGAAGGGCAATCTGAAGCTGTTCATGCTGACTTCAGATGAGCTCGTGTGGGACAAAAGCAGAAATGCTGCCTTTTAACTCCTCGAACATAAATCAAGCTCACCTTTTTCCTAGACTAAACTGCTCTGCGATCTGATGGTGACTTGCCTGCCAAGCTTTCCAGGATGCTAGAAGTGGATCCATGGAACAGAGCTGGCTCCTCTGAAAATGAAAGACATAACATCCTTAAAATATATGGATAGTAATAATGTAAGTAATAGATGGGTTTGTGGGTGAGGCACTTAACCTCTGAAGAAGCAAGTTCAGCCTTTGTTTTCCCCCAGACTTTTCTCTGAGTTTGAGTTATTTGGATCCAACTTCCCAAAGATCTGATAACATAATATGGTAGGTAGCACACTACCATGATTTGGACCTATGAAACTATTCTCATACAAAAGCATATGAAAATAGAGTTTCATAAATATATTTAAGTAGGAGGAAAAAATGAAAGTTATCTATGACACAACTGATGCCTTCTGCCATGTTCCTTATGCCTGCAAGCTTTTGTGCTCAGATCGGAGATCTTTGTACCTGTGAAGCTCTACTGCTAAAATTTTAATTTGAACTGAATCCCACTGTCATTCTGTGTGAAGAGGAAACCATCTGACACTGCATAAACTATACGAAATATTTCTCAGGTTCTTCATATACAGTATGATCTCAATGAAATGATTAAGGCTGATTTATTTCCTACTATTAGCATCAAATTAGATAGGAAAGTTATCCAGACCCATAGGAGACGGCAACAGTCAATTGTACTGATGCACTTATAGCTGCAGGACATTCCTAGATGTTAAAACTCATTCTCACATGCATAGAGCTAAAAACTGAGAAAGGACAAGGGAGAAGGAAATAGCTATATGAGGCTTTGATGATGGTTAGAGAAAGTCTACATCAAAAGCTCCATTTAATTGATGGTTTTCGTTCTGAGAAGGAACTTGCTTGAATTTTTCTTGAACAATCTCTGACATTTTAGCAAAATCTTAGCTATATTTTTCTAGATGTTGGATTAAAAAAAGGCTTAATGCAATGCCCTCTAAAACTTAATTCTGTGTCAATGCATTTGACACTTGTAAACAGAAGCAGTAATCCTAAATGGTAAAATCTCATAGGTTTTGCTGTTTTTCTGATACTGTGGTGCAAGACTTGGTCAGTGGCAACTCTCACTAAATTCAGTTGTAACCCAGGTTTCATCTCCAAAGAAACCATTACTACTCAGCTCAGAAATAAAACGATCAGGCACAGGCTTATATTTAAAGCTTTGAACAGCAACATGAAGGAATCGAAACAATTCTGTTTCAGGTTTCTGCTTCTCCAGCATAAAAAAAAAAAAAAAAAAAAGAGTATATTTCTGGTTTTGGCCACCCGCCCTTGCATTGCATAGTCTGGCACGCTAAATTGTGTGTGAAGATGCGGGGCGCTCTCCTCTGATTGCCGGGAGCCTCTGGAGCTGGTTTGAGCTTTGAACAATTGGGTCTTAATTCTGATTGCGGATGTGGGATGCTGCTGCAGTGCAAACCACCCTGCAAAGGCGGCTCTAGTGCTCAATTCAATGATAACGTGATAAGGCTGTATCATAAGCGAAGTCCACAAATCAAAGGTTTCCTAAGGGGCAGCCTTTTGGCACGTAATGGGCCAGATAGCGTTTGCCCTTTAGAAAGGGCTACATGCCCCTTTGCTATTGAGGAGCAAAAGCACTTTCGCCTTCCTTCTGCCACGAAGGGAGATTATTCAATGGTTGCATTTAATGAATTCAAAATCCTTAGAAAATCACTAGAGCCAGACATCAATGTAAAATACTCCACCAGCTTTCAGTAGTGGAATATAATATTAGCTCTCCCACAATCTACTTCATGCATTTCAAAAGAACAGAGAACATTTCTAAACTAGAAAGGATAGCTTGGGCAGGAAATGATTGTCTGCCTTGGATGCATCTCTGTAACCCTTTGTGAGTCGGTTATTTCTGCAGGCCGGCAGAAAGGGCTGTTTTCTTTGCAAAAACCCAGGGGGTGGAGGTGGGAGGAGGAGTAAGACTCTCATATTAAGCGTGGGGTTTTAGATGGGGGATTTTTGTTAGTGAATTCTGTTCAAGTGCTGTCCGTGGACTTGCACCGGAGGGCTAAGCGGGAGCCGGGGCTGCAGGGCTTCTGCTTCCCAGGCTCCACTCTCCTAGGCAATACAGTAGCGCAAATAAATAATATTAATGAAGGCTCAATAGGTTTAAAAATCTATGGAAATAGCTTCTCTCCTGCTGTTTCAGTGTCTCATTTTCCCCACTCTGTCCAAACCCCCAAAGCACAGAGGTGCAAACATATATTTCAAACGAGAAGTTTGTTGAACCTCATTAAATGTAAGTGCTCGATTCAGTTTTTCTCAATGAGGCTTCATTCTGCCAGGAGTTTACCTGGCTTCAGTCTCCCCTCCCTAATGGAGACATTAATTTAGAGGGTGTTTTTGCAAAGGCACTGTTAGACCTATCTATAAACTACAGCTGAAAAGTAATGTAATGCCTAATTTATATACCTAAATCTAGCAGCCAACTTTGGAAATCTGTATTTTATAGGTCTGAGCCCTGTGCAGAAGTGAAATAAAGAGAAGATTTTAATTTTTGTTTGATTAGCTGGTTTTATTCTTTTTTTTTTTTTTTTTTTTTTAGAAAAAGGAAGGACGACTGAAGCCCATGCTGGTACAGGGGGCTGTGGAACCAGCACGGGAGGAAGGCAGCATTTCTCGAGGTGTGTAGCTCTTGTCCTCCCACTCCTCATCCTCATCCGCAGCCACCATGTGCTGTCATGCTCACTCATCCGCAGGGCTTCCCGCTCATCCATGGAGCTTCCCGCTCCTCCGTGGGGCTTCCCATTCATCCGCCCTGTCACTCAGGTGCGGTGGAGGCAGCACTGACTTGTTAGCTTGCAGGGGTGAGTCAGGAAGGGGAGGAGGGATAGGTAAGAATGTAAAGGGTTTTCCATAAGGCAATATACTCCAGAGCTGCTTCCATCACTTCCCAACCAAAAGCAGTCCCAGGGCTTGCCCACAACCTTCCTCCATAAGGAATCACCGAGGCCACAAGAGGAAACGAGGCATAAAGACCTCGGTCCCACTGCTGTGGCTCCCGCTCCCCTCGCACTTGCCACCGTCCCCGCGGGATCATCCTTGGCACTGGGCGCACATGCCAGCGGGCACGACGACGGGCTCGTCCAGGCTGGGAAAACGGGAATGCCGGGCAGAGCTCCCGGCGTGGGAGGGATGTGGCCGCCCACGCGTGCCGGGGGGCTCCAGGGGCTCCCCTCCCCCGTCCCCCCCATTCCCTGGGGAACCGCGGGGGGAACCGCGGGGTCGCCGCTGTCCCCGGCGCGGAGGACGGAGCGGGCGGAGGCTCCGCGGGGCGGAGGCTCCGCGGGGCGGAGCGGGGCGAACCCCCCGCCCGCCTCCGCCCCCCGCGCCGTGACTCGGCTCCCTCCCGCGGGCGGCGGCGCCGGCCGGGCCGTGTCGCTCGCTCGCTCGTTGCGGCGCCCGCGCGCGCGCGGGGGGACTATGAAGCACCATGGTGTGGTGTGACCGCGGCGTGCAGATGCTGCTCACCACGGTGGGCGCCTTCGCCGCCTTCAGCCTCATGGCCATCGCCATCGGCACCGACTACTGGCTCTACTCGAGCGCGCACATCTGCAACGGCACCAACATCACGGCGGACGAGGCGCAGGGGCCGCCGCGCCGCGCGCGGGGCGACCTCACGCACTCGGGGCTCTGGCGCATCTGCTGCCTCGAAGGTACCGCGGGGAAAGTAACTCGGGCCGGGCCCGCGGAGCCGCCGCCGCCGCGGCCGGGGGGGCGGCGGGAGGAGGATGGGGTTGCCGTGACAACCGGCATCTCCGGCATCGCCATGGGAACCGGGGGCGGCGGGGGGTCCCGCGGGTTTGGGGGCGGGCGGAGGTGGCGGCACCCGAGGGTCCGTGGCGGCTCCCGCTGCACGGGGAGCCCGGGCGGGCGCTGCCGCCGCGGGTGCTGCGGGATGCGGAGCGCGCGGCGCTGAGGATGCTCGGGGTGCGCACGAGGGGTCCCTCTGCCAAGGGAGCTGCAGGTGGCTGCCGTGGCAGGCGGCACGGGGGGCATTTCGGCGCCGCAGGTGGGGGACGACATCGGGCAGTCCCGTCCAGGGGCGAGGGCTGCGGGCCCCGAAACCTCCCTGGCTCCGGAGGGATCCGGCGGTGCTGGAGGAGAGGACGAGCTCGTTGGGAGCCGCCTGCCGAGCTGCGCGTCGGCTCGTGCCGCTGGGGGCTTGCCCTTTTTTTGGTTGTTTTTCCACAGTAATGCGCTTGGCCTCTCAGCTTCAGCGCACCCAATTCCATCAGCGCAACTTAGCACACATGAACTTTGCAGACCCGCTTTCCTGCCTTATTCCAAGTGACAGACGGCTCAGCCCGGGCGAGTCCGGCTGCAGCTCGGAGAGGAGTCGTTTTATGCCGAGTTCTTTCCTTTTTCCCCTCCTCAGGAAAGGCTATGGTATCCTCGGAGCACCTTGTCCTCACATCTGCTCCAATCTTGTCCTCTTCCTAACAATTTAAAGCTAAGCGTAGCCAGCCTCTTCCTCCTAAAACACCATGTTTGCTCCTAATAGCACCCGTGCACCGAGTGGCTGTCAAACAGGGAAATATTTTTAGACCGAAAGAGAGGATTGCTGAGATATGAAGGTTTCTGGGCAGCAATAAGGCTGAGATTTATGATTCCTAAAAGAAACCCAACTCTTGGTACGTGCTTTTGATCACCCCTGGAGCACAGGCTGGTTTCTGACAGCTGCTGAGCAGCCGCAGAGGTGCCAAGCGCCGTCCACTTGGACCCCACATCTCGTGCTCATCACTTCGCGGTCCAGGATCCTCAGCCTCCTTCTCCATGCTCTGTTGGCATCTCGCAGGAGCTGCTGGGCATGTCCTGCCAGGCCTGTCTGATCTGGGAGAAATCCCCAAGTTTCACCAAGCCAGGGTTTTTGCCTGGTCCTGCAGGAATCTCATGCAATTCTACTTTAACTGGTGGGTTTCTTTTTCCTTGAGTTTCAACTGGGCTTAGGTCAGAAATTTATATTTTTAAAACAGAGGAAGACAGCAGTGAAGCTTTGAGAAACGGGCAAGCATTGCAAGCAGTGGCCAGCAATGCTCACTAATCCCCCTTCCCTGGCACGGGGGCAGCACCTTTGCCTCCAGAGCACCTCGTTTTTCCAGGGATGCTCATCATCCAAGTTGATGATGCCCATCAAAAGGGTCATCAAAGATACTCTTTTTAAAGCTGTTTGTCGAAGAGAGGCTGAGCATAACGATTTGAGAAAACCATCCTCTGTTCATGGAGATGACAGAAAGCCATTAGTTCCTTCCTAAGTTTTCAGTATGCTCTGTCCTTATAAAGTAAAATATAGGGATACGTGAAAACACTTAATGTTTTAAACTGTATCATGGCACTCTGGTTTCAACATTGAAAGGCTGCTTTGTTTTATCAAATAATGAAATATATTTTCAGGAGAAATAAAAAAAAAACACCCCCTTGCTTGTTTCCAAGTGTCAGTCGTCCTGACTGGATGGTTCTTTAATGAAATCACACCCTAATGCTTGCAACTGTGATGAGATATGCAGCAAGAAAATAATTACAAATTCAGATTTGTATATACAGTTTAAATAGCCTGACTTGAAACCTATTTTTAGAACTCTTTTTTTTTCTGTGTGTTGGAATAGTAATTATAAAAGTCTACTTAATTTTTTGTTACGGTCTTAAGCGCCATTCCCCTCTTATCTCAAAACAGACAGATCTAAGAAGCAAATGTGCAAAAACTGGAAGTCTCTTGAGCAGCCCTTTAAATTGTGATCACCATGAACATAACATTGCAATGAGTAAATTTCAGGTCAGCTGAAATTTCCCGTGAAAACGGGAAGTCGAGGTAGATCAATAAAAATCAGTGGTCTTGGTTTGGAAGCGTCACCTGTTCTGCAGCCCTTCTTGAGTTCCAAGATTGCTAACAAATTTGCAGAAACAAAATGGAAAAGAGTAGCTTTCTGACTGAATTATTAGGCACTGCTCAGTGCTTTCCTGTTTAGCCTTCTCGGGTAATGCTTTATGACCAGATAGCATCGCAGTGATAACTGGAGCAATACGGCATGTGGATCCATCACCTTCTCTCTGCTTGGGGTGCAGTTGTCTTGGGCACAAAATCGTGTTTCGGTACTACCAGGCAATACTACTATGGGGCTTAGTCACTCAGGCAGCAGCATTAATGGCACGTTAGTCAAACGCTTGCCTGCCTAATCCCAGTTTTGCTCTTCTGCTGTGTTTGTCAGAGGTGCGGGTAGGAGGCTTTTGAATCTTAAATGACTTGAAACAATCCTGCTCTTTCTGCACGGGTTTAAAGCCTACACCAAGGCAATTGCCTTTCGTAGCAAGCAGTTTAGGATAAGCCTTGGTGTGGATGTGCATATGCCAGAGGTGGATGCTGCAGCTCAGGGAGGTGGCCCAGGCTACCTGTGGCTTTGGGACCACTGCAAAGCCACAGGAGAAGGGAGAATTTCCTCCCGAAGTCCCAGAACTGCAGCGTGCAGCCAGCCCAGCCTCGCTCCAGCCCGGCATCCCAGCCCTGTTAATGAGGAGAGCAAATCAGCCCCATTCCTAGTGACACTGGTGATGTCCTGTGTCCGCAGCCAGGCTGTGGTCACTCTCCCTCACTGTGGATCAGTGTCAGGGGCTGAAGAATAATCTTGCAAACCCTGCAAAGAATAATGCTGGCTCTCGCAAACAGTCCCCTAGTGCTCGGACTAACCTGATAAAGACAGATTAAGCCACTTACTTTCCAGCATCCCCTATTCCTATGTTAAATCTGCTGAATGTAAATGCTATGTAAGCCCTGCATAATCTTAATCCTAAGGAGAAACTGCTATTAAGCAAATGTACCAAATATTTACTTTAAAAAAAAAAAAAAAGCAATTTTTAAAACAGCAATTTATCTGCTGGAATGGCTTCATCTTCAAGAACGATCATGCTGAAGTTAATAGGACTGTTCACAACAGAGAGCTCTGCGGGCCCTATGAAATCAAGCAATGTACTTGCAATTTAAATTTATTCAAAGAGTATTTTATTAAACACTTCAGCCTCTAAATCCCTTTGAACCTATTGTGGCTGCTGCTTTCAGTATTCCCTGTTTGTCGTTTACTCTTCAAGTGGTGCAATTGGTTATTTAATTCACGTGGAGCCATTTGTCCTTCCTGACTGGGTAAGCGAAGCGTTTCCAGTCGGGAGGAAGGGCTGAGTCAAGCCTTTGTGACTCAAAACCTTGCAGAAATGCACATTTGCACAATTATCTGCAAGTTGTCTGGCTTGGATGAATGCGCACAAACATGGGTATCGCGGCGTGCACATGCTCTGCTTCCATGGATACCCCTGAAACCAAAACACAAACACGTACACAAATGTCTGAGGCAAGCGAAGGAAGGGAGTCCATCCGTGCTCCACGGTTTGGCCAGGAGGAAGGGGCATCCTTCAGTGTTCGTGGAGCCCCAGCACCACCGTTTGGATACGATACAGGCTTTATTTTTAAGTGCTATGGTGAAATTTTTGTTCACTTTAACAGCAAATGTTTTATTACTTCTATCTATATCTATATCTTCTATCTCCGGCATGGGCCGCCCTGGAGGTTGTGTCCATGGGCAAGGAGGGCGCCTGGAAGCGGAGCAGGGGTGACCTGTGTTGGCACCGTGCGCAGGGTGGCTGATGGGGTCAATACCCAGACTCGTGTCTCTGGCTGGAAAACTCATCCTGCGTGTGCTCTAACCTCTTTCCTAGATAATACTGGTATCTTCTATGTGTATCCTAGGCCTGAAAGTGCTCGTGCTGTGCTGACCATTGCTCAATGCAAGTCTTGTTGCTCAGTAGCCGTCTTCGTAGCTGAGTTTGAAATGGGGAGAGGGTGTCAGAAACATGTGGAGTGGATTTTGAGAGCCTTTGTAGGTTTATTTTTCCTGCTGAAGCCTCCGGTTTGCCAGGGAGAGGTTCTAAGCCTGGAGCAGAGTTCAATCTCTTCAAAACTGTGTCCATAGAACGGCCTATTTTAAAATACCAAGAAGTTTTGTGTTGGAGGGACTGTCAGCACGAGGTAGGCTAAGCAGTACATCTGTTCTCTCCTAAAAAAGAGCATGGATCTCTCAAACGCACCTCTTTGAACATTTGAAATGACTCTATTGATTTAACTAAACATCCATTCTTCCTGTGATGTTATATCAAACACGGATCTGAAGCTAATTGACTGACTATATGTTGCTTTAATGAATTAATTTACTCTCTTGGACCCGATCTGCTCCGTAGCCGGTAGGGAGCTCTCCGGCTGCACATGCTGGTTTTTTTTCCGTATTTTCCCCCTCTTTGGCTTTCTGCGTGTCAGATATCCCAGTCGCGGCGGGCTCCTGGGTGACCTTCGGCAGCACCGCGGCCCTCGGGCTCCTTCCAGCTGCCGCTGCGTCGTCTCATTGAGCCCTTGGCTGCCGCCCTGCCAGGAGCCCAACATGGGCCACCGGCAAGGAGTGCGAGGGGAGCGTGGGCTGGGAACAGGTGGGAATATCCAGGAAAGAGGCCTTTGATCCTAAACCATGTGTTACACCGTTACAGGAACAGAACGATAAAAAGGGGGGAATTAGGTGAGGCCAGCGTGTTCGTGCCCTTTTTTACAAATCTTTTGGCCCAACAGGAGTGTTTAGATAGCGAGTAAAATGTGAAATCTGATGTAATATTTTGAAGCACGTCG